ATATATATATATATATAGTGTAATTTGAAAATAAAAAAAAATAAAAACGAATACTGCCAAGTTATGGAAATAAAGAGATAGATAGGAGTGAAGATACAGTCAAGTTACAATAAGTCAATAGTCTTGGCCACTGAAGAGTGAGTAAAAGAAAGATATATAATGAGGGAAGGGGGAACATAGAGAGACACAAAGAGAGAGAGAGAGAGAGAGAGAGAGAGAGAGAGAGAGAGAGAGAAATGAAACGTCAGAGAGCGAATGAGAAGATAGAGAAACCCATGATTGGGCCAAGTCTCGGGATGCGTGTATGGTCTGATCGCGTGGGTTTTACCCAGAAATCGTCTTTTCGCCGTCTCAACTCGTTCAGCCTGTCTTTTTTCTCCTGTCTCTCACGCTTGGACGTCGGCTTTTGCCGGAAATGGCGCAAGTACTGAATTAGCAAGCGGGAAGTGAGAATTGGGCAGACAGCACGGCGCGTATTGCTCGCGTACTCTCTTTCTCTTGCTTTTTTTATAGCTCTTCGTCACGTTCTTTTTTCTTCTTCTTTCTTTTTTCGCTTTTCAAACTTAATATTCTCATTCTCCATGCTACTGTACAATGTCACTAGTTACAACCATCGTGACATCCCTGATTATTATCGAAATTCATTGTGTAACTTATTATAGTTTACCTTTAAATATTGTACGTAAACAACGTAATCGTATCAATAAAAGGTGCGGAGTAAAGTATTTTAATGACATTTCCTATATATATATATATATATATATATATATATATATATATCAATTATATTTTTATGGATTATTTATAATTACTGTAATAATGAACGTATACAAAATTGTATCCCACATTTGTATGAAAAGTTGTATTAACATTTCAATACAAAATAAGAATTTAAAATGTTTTGTTAATAAAATTCTTGTAGTTTTAATTGTAAATTATTATAGCTTAATTACTATACCGATATTGTAATATAAAAATCATGAAGAATCATCAACCGCATCTAAAATTTATACATTTGATTACGTAAAATATTCCTTGCATCTTTGACACAATCTAAACCTTGTACTTGTAAGATCTATCGTCGCCTCAGATTTATATTGACACCGAAGCATTGCCCATCTTATTTTTATTATGTTAATGCACAAATTGTTACATATTATGATAAAATATTTAACTGTAGCCATTTTAGATATAAGCTGACACAAATTTTCATATTATTAATATAAGCAATTTTTACTTTACAATATATATATTTAATGTTTTTCTGACAAATTAATCAAAAAATTGATCAATGTTCTTGTACACATATTTCTAAATTATTAGTTTGAAATATTTTGAATCGAAACCAATAATTTCTAATTTAATGGTAAATTATACTTTTAATTTATATAAAACAGCATGACACGTTTAAATTTGATTTATACAAATCAATTATTTTCTGATATAATAAAATTTTGATATTAATCAAATCTTTGGAATCTTTAACTTATCATATATTTATTGTACTTCACCTAAGTCAATTAAATATTATTATACACTAATGCGAGATTATTATATTTCCCAAGTTATTAATATGTCGAATATGATTTTTTTTAATATGATTCTTTTTAAAATATGATATTTTGTTATTTAATTAGCTATGCTCTGATACTAAATGTAGTCACGTATTTGTGAATAGGTACATCGATTTAAAAACAAATACATTGATTTGTTAAACATTGTTTATATTTTTACACATAAATAACAGATTACTGGAACTCCTCATTTAATAATGTCTATAACGATAAATCCTTCATAAATGCTTGAAGTGGTTGATAATTTATACATAATTAAAATTGTATTGTTGTCTACATTAATTTACACATTTGATGTTCCTTTAAATTATTAAAAATGAGAATAAGATATGTTATAAATATAATAACGAACCTTGTTCATATATATATATATATATATTAAAATATATCATTAATACATTCAAATATTTACGCACATAAAAGATATACAGATAAGAATTAATGAATAACGTACTTGATGTAATATATTTGGATGATACATTTTATACTTAATGACTTCACTTCTTATAATTCGAGAGAAATTTCAAACTGCTGACAAATTTTTACATTAAAGTTTATAATAATATTTTCTTATTTAATTGTTAAAAAATGGTTACCAGTCTAAATGAAAAGAATTGCCCGTAATGTAGTTAATTTTTATAAACAATATATAAGATAGAATAACAAGTAATTAAATGTTAAATTACCAATACATTGATCGTATAGAAATTCTATTTTATAGATGTATAGAACGTAATTTTATTTGTATTACATTTTTAAAAAATCTAAAACAAATATTATTTTCAAATAAATTTTAAGCCATTAAATTGTATTTGAAGCGTATTACGTAATAGCTTCTATATTTACAATATTATGATAAAATTATAACATAAATTATACAAACTAATCAATGTTTCCTGAATTATATTTGAATTCAAGAATGTGTTCACAAATTGGATATGTGAAGTTCTGAGAACGAATTTGTTGTCAATGTAGAACAACCAGCATTTCATAGCATAAAATACTTACGCAATTTTTGTTTGTCCTAATTATCTTAATAAATATTTCCTGAATTATCTCTGAAGTCAAGAATGTGCGTGGAAATTAGGTATTTTACTTCAACTACTTGTAAATGAAATTCTGAGAACGATTTTGTTGTCGATGTTGAACCATGAGTAGCTTGTGTTTTAAAATAATTATTCAATAGAACTAGACTTTGAAGATAAGAAATATCAATTCAATGATAAGCTTCTTTATTACTTTAAAGACATCTTCAAAACAATATCTTCATTTGTTCAATTTCGACGCCGTTAAATTTATCATTTACCTACTGAAGCTTATTTATTTTATGTAAAAATTTGAAATAAAAAATTATCGCTAATAATAACATTATATCATTAAAAGACTTTTCAAATAATTCATTTATAAATCATGAAGTTTGTTTACCTTGTACTTGAGTATATAATCCAGCATAACAATTTTTCTTTTCTAAAAAGTTAATTATCTAAGCTCTTAGTTGATTACTATTGATTTTTTGTTTATTCACGTATAATAATTCACATATGAGCAAATATTTTCAATCGATCACATAATGAAATAATTAGAATTATATATAACAATCTATTTTCTTAAATTGATGTATAAATAATTGATTTTCTTGTAATCATTAAAGTTCCGTGAATTTCGAAATATTGTAATTGTTAATTGTTGATAATCAATGTCATTCTTATACTATTATTGGAATAAGAATAAATAAATTATTATTACAATCACATATAAGAATTTTATACAGAATCTTTTATGTATTCTTTAAATATATTAGATACAAAAACGGAGAAACTTTCCTGATAAAATAGTGTATATAAATTCATTCTACTCTCTTTGTTTTGAAAAATTTCTACGTAATAATAAAGAGTGTCATGAAAAAAAATGGTTAAAAAAAGTTTAAGTTTAAATCTATATTATGAAAAGCTACATATTTGCTATTAATATATTAATTCGTATTTTGAATCATAACTTTTGCCACGCATAATGTTTAATTTGTATATGAAATTTCAGAGAAAAAATGTCTTCGCTTAAAGTTTGACAAGATAAAATTACTTACTTAAAAATATAATTAAATCAAACAATTTTTATTCATTAAATTCTTTAATCACTTTTAAAACGCTCGATTTATTTTAAGTGCGTGGAATATTTTTTCGGAAAATTAAAAAAAAAAACAATTTGTTAAATAAGATAAATATTTGGGTATTATTAAATTTTATTTTCTAATATCTTTATGTTAATATTCCATAATTTGATGGATAAATTTTTGTTTGTCCGAAGATATTTATAAACGATACAATATTTTCTGGTTACTTAATTTTATTTACGTTTCTCTTTTTTTTTTTTTTTTTTTTTTTTTTCTTTTTTTTTTTTTAAAGAAACGATGTAGTTATTAAACAACTTAAAACATACGTCTTATAAGACGTCGCATGCAGATTCTTATTTACTCCTAGTGAAAATTATTCATGCACAATCAAATATATGATTAATTTAATCATTACTATCATCTAAATGAAATATTTTCTCGTAAAATATTTTTCGCAAAATTAAATGTATATATAAAATATGAAACACCAATTAAATTGTAATGTCACATTCACCTGGATGGGCCTAGATTTTTGTATAAGTGTTTTTTGTATATATTGTTCGTACAATACAGACATTGAGCTACTGTGCATTAAATTAAATTGATTATGATGATAATTGTTGTTAATTGATGATAATTGATGGTAATTGATCATTTATATTTACAATATAAGGCTTGAGAAGAGGAAAGGCGTTTAAATAGGTACAAATAGTAAACAAACGAAACGAAGAAAGTTCGGCTAACTAAGAAAATTCGAGTGTAATAAGCTGTACCTGCTCTCTCTCTCTTTCTCTCTCTCTCTCTCTCTCTCTCTCTCTCTCTCTGTGTGTCTGTGTGTGTAAGGAGCTAGCTCCCCGTTTCTTTAGAATATTCTTGAGAATCTTACCGATATAGATTGAGCCCGAGCAAATATAAAAGTAGACCAGTATCTACAAAGAAAATCTGAATATACGGTATAAGCATAAATAGTAGCGAGCCAATTAAAGAATTACAACAACGTCTGGTTAAATGATCGAGAGCCCAGCAGATAATGCATCGGCCTCCAAGTCCTCGAAGCTCTCGCTATAGGCGCAATTGTATACAGATAAAAGCCGGCCGTCGTACGCTTTGTATAAAAGCTAAAGAAATTGAGAGTATCCATTAAAAATGTAGGGTCCGCGCGTGGGACGCATTAGCGCGGTCGTGGGCCCTTTCGCCGAATCAATTAACCAGTGCGGGCGGCGGCAGGACAAGACAGGATTTCCCTAAATCCACGTAAAAATGCTTTCTTTGTCCCAGGCTAATCGGTGGGCGCGCGGCCCACACAAGCAACCAACCCTCTTCGTGCCTTTGGCCCGCCGCTCGTTGGGCCTCATGTCTCCTTAATCTTGTCACTTTATGTTTCTACCCGAACATCTGTTATACTCCAAGTCATTGGCGCGGGGCTTATATCGTCTCCCTTCCCCCCCCCCCCCCCCCCCCCCCC